CTGATCCGTGTCGATCAAAATAAACAATTCTATTGGCTTTAGGTCACGTGATGGACACGGCTTTAGACGACCCCAAATTTGGAGTCGAATATATCAAGCCAAATTTGGCGCATTTGATACAAGTGACTTGGTGCACCATATTACTGTATAACGATAATAAAAATTAAATTTTGCTTTTACATATAATTTAATTACAAATTACGAAATTATGGTATATTAATATTTTTATAAAATATTTTAGCATTTAAATTTAAGTTTACAACGCTATTCAATAACGCTATTCGTATCGCTATAGCGATAAATTTCGTTTTATCTGAACAGATATGTTATCTTTAATTTTACCTCTGAAATTTGAAAAATTTTTGTGTATACACGTACTATACCAATTATAACTTATACTAACTTTTGTAATAATTTATTCAATTGTTTTTATTGGATGTAAGTCATGTTCACAAAGTTTTTTTTGGGCACTAATCTGTTAGAACGAGCACAATATAATGCTATGCATTAGTCATTGACATAGTTATCATTTGATTATTCAGTTATTCACTTTCGCGAATTTATACAAATGGAAAACGACAATTCTAAAGCAGCGGCAATTCTTCGACAAAGGTCTTTACTTTTTTGGTTAGACTTGAGTAAAAAAAAACCGAAGACGACGGCAAGGCTTTATGAAAAGTAAGAAAACTGTCGTTTGAAAAGGATCATAAAAAGTTAACCTTTGTTTGACAGTAATAATTATTGCAGTACAGTGATTCAAGGAAATTTTCAAGCAACAGACGCAATGGAATCTAAATTTCGGTTTGACAACTGGGAATCACCAGTTGGAATCTATGATCACGTAGTCATTCGTGGAACAGACGTAAGAGTATTGGAAATCGAATACTCGAAAGAATAATTAAATTGAAGGTAGACTTTATTCATCACCAGAACTTTCACTAACTTCTTCCTCTTGCTGTTGCTCTTGTTGCTGTTGCTGTTGTTGTTGCACATCAATCCCTTCTCTGCCATTCTCTTCTTTTTTTCTTCAAGTTTTGTAACAGATTTTTTGCTGTATTGAATATACCATTAGTAGGAGCTCCATAAGCATAGCGCTTTGGACTTTTAGAAAAATGCTGTAATGCGCATTTTTCACAAAAATAGTGACAACATTTAGATCAAAAAAGGTGTTATTTATATTATAATTTTTATTATAATTTTTTATTATAATAATAAAATAATTTCAGATCAGAAGCATATCATCAATACGATTTGAATTCAGAGATTCCTATTTTTGCATATTAGGCATAATCGTATCATTTGCAATAATGAAAAATTATTATGTAGTACATACCTTGTAACCACTGGATTCTTATGTTCTTTTCTACATATTATACAAGCAAAAAGGCAATTATTCATCCTTTCATCACTGCTTTCGATAAGAAATTTGCTCTTGTCTTGTTGAATTTTTCCTTGCATTTCTTTCTATTCTCTTTCTAATTGCCATCTAGATTTATAGTCACCTCTAATATGCAAGAATTTGCAACAATTATGCCAAGGTTAGATTATAAATATCTAGAAAATTTTGTGAAAATTTATTGAAAAAACAGTTTAAAAGGCTACAAATTAAAGTTATTAAATAAAAACACTTTATATTAATAAATTTTTTTGGTAAGAATCGCCAATTAAATATTATAAAGTATTATTTTTTTATATTACTAAAATCCATGCTGTTAACTCAAATTATTTTATATAGGAAATATACAACCTTTTTAGTGTATAGATTATAAGTAAAAAAAAAAAAGGGTTACCAAAATTTTTGATTCATTATTTAAAAAACATAGCTTTACATGCCAAAGAATTCATGCATATAAATATAAATAAGCTTAATAATCATTTAGCATATTCGATTTATTCATATTATGAATTGAATATAACAATTATATTTGTCAACCATAAAAATTATTTTTTCATACATAAAGAGTCCAGTGACAAATAAACGCATAATGTATCATTAAGAAAAACGATTCTTTAACTTCAAGGATGAATAATTAAACATTACAAAATGTAATTTGCTTTTCATGATGATTTTTGTTAACGCCGTCATTGTAAATACATCAAACATTGTTGGTATTATGATCTTGCACATCCTCAATGAGCTGATCAATATCAGACAAATCATCAAGCGCAGTAGCAGCAGCTTCAGTTGCCGGTGAGTTAGAATCTAGAGGTATACAATTACTTCCATTTTGTTGTTTTCCTATTAATATATTTTGAATGAGATTGATTTTTTCTTGTTGTCTATTCGTTATTTTTTTTTTAAAAAAAAGATGTAATTAATGTGGATCAATTACGAGAGTTTATATTTATTGAAAAGAAATTTCAAGAAAATACTTTGATATGAAAATTTCATTTTCCTTGATAGCTAATTGAAAATCTGCATCGTTTTCATCAAATTTTTTCATCTCTTCATTCGATCGTATTAAATGATTTACAGAGTTTTCCAAACGACGTTTCTCATAGGTTAGACTGTCCACACTAAGCGTATGATATTGTTCTACTGTTGGCTCAATAGGTGGTAACAAATCCATTTTATGAAAATAATTGAGTAAAGTTGCCAAACCATGAATTGTATCGTATTTAGTTTATATGTCAGGGACCGATCCGAGATGTCACGTTACACGGTGACTCGGGCATAAGTGCAGAGTTACGTAGTATTCTAAATAGTAATAAACTTTATAAATTTCAAATAACTTTAAATGAACTCAATTTACGTACGTACGTACAATATATTCATTTAAATTTTATAAGATTTATCCTAATCTCACCTGACGACAAATGTAGTGACTTTGAAGTCTAAGAGTTAACGTTAACACAATTATGTACAAAATTCTTATTATATCCGATCGATTCGAATTCATTAACACTTTTTTTTTTTTTTTTTTTTACTAAGCTAATTATTCGCGTTTTGCATCATCTCTAAATTCTACGAATGCATAGTAATAATAGATATCAAAATTTGTTCAAACTTTCTTTAATGAAGTGATTAATAAAGTGATTTGAGTAAGATGATATTAAAGTATTATTTGAATAAAGTACTTTTTCTTCTTTAAATATAAGATTTCAAACTAATGACTAATATTAATTCAATAGTTTATATAGGTACTTGTTATTTCTTAAGTTTAATAAAGTAATCATAAATCTATTATATTAAACAACTGATCTAAAATGCAAACAATTCAAAGCTTATCAACCTCACATAGTATTATAATGTTTCCAAAATTAATTCAACTACTGCCATCCAATTATTGTTATTCAACTAATATTATCCAACTCGAATGTCATATTAAAGTTTCTAAATACATTATAAATAAGATAAAAAAAAGGAACATCATTATTATAAAGACGCAATAAATGTTGCTTAAACTCTACTTGTATATAGTTCCAAAGGTAGGACTTGGTGTTTGAATATTAATGTTTATTCCACTAATGCTACGTCCAAATAAATCATCATACGATGTTTTATCACCACTAGTCCTTAGTGTATTATTAAGGAATCTAGAATTTGTAATACCGGGACTTTTTAGATTCAAATCAAAACTTGCGGACTTTCTATGCGATTTTTTCCTCATATTTGGTGGTGATAAGATATTACTATTTTCTCCGGTAAAAGCATCACTACTGTTAAAAGATAATTCATTAGAAGCGTCATCACCTAATGTCATTGAAGCTCCGCAAAGTTTAGGGCTGCTAGGTGCACTGTGAATTTCTAAATGCGTGTTTGTCTCGTAATCGTCTTCATCAGGCATATTTAAATATAAAGTTGTACGTTTTCTTCTTGTGGATAAATAGCTGGTATTAGAGTCAGGAGGCATTTGTGAATAAGAAGGAAGGTCATGAGAAGTTACTGGTAGCACACGGTTATGATCTTGCGGAGAAGTATTTAAATTACTATAACTCGGATGTGATGTCGGTGTAGTATAAGCGATAGGAATACTCCGAGGTGGTGAAGCTGTTCTTGAATTATTTTCATTTCTATGTAAAAGACGGTCTACCAAAGAACGTTGACTCTTTTTATTTTTTAGGATTGGTTGACGTGGATCTGACAATATTGAGCCATTCGAAGTTCCATTTCCTCCGCTTGAGGAATTATCTGTAAAACCATCATTGTATATATCATCAAGATTTGGAGATGCAGACCTAGTGTTATTTGTAGAGGGATTTCTAGAGTTACTTCTGGAATGATTCCTTGAATTACTTCTAGAATGATTCCTAGAATTGCTTCTAGAATTATTTAATTCACATAAAGGGCTAATGGGTCTAGAATCACCGGATTCTTCATAACCCATTGTAGGAGAATCTTCTATACAATCATCGTAAGAAGGCAGACTATTATCACAAAGCATACTGAAAATCGAAGAGTAATCATCTTCCGGAATGGTTGTGATAGTGATTGGAAAACCTAATTCTAAATCCTTCTCATTTTCGTCTCTAAAAGTCATTGAAAGTCTAAGTTTATGCCTAACACGAATTAGCGGAGAATCAATTGTCGCTTTTAACTTAGATGCACGGGCTTTACCAGATGTTGCGGTACGAGAATATTGAACGAAAGGAAGATTATAAGTCAATGGATTATTCCAATTGTCATCATTACTGAAAATAGCTAGAGCCGTTGGTTTTATTTGACTAGTTCGTTTACGTTTTGACGGTACAGAGCCGTTCAATTGAACATTGCCAACAAATTGGGTGCTATCAATACCATAATATATTATATCTTGTTGACTTGGCTGGACTCTATTAAATAAATAAGGTTAAATTGGGTAATTCTATAAAAGGTTAGTTAACGATTAAAATTGTTGATTATTACCTGTATTTTTCAGATTGAACTAGATCGAAAGTAATTCTCTTGACATAGCCCTGTTCGCTACACGGTAATAATCTAACTCTGATCAACAAACTTCTTTCGTTAACACTTATGACAGTAGGAATATCTAGCTCGTATTTTAAAATATTCCTTCTCTGACCTCTATAAATTTTTGTAGGTGGTGCAGGCAGAAGTTCTCTCCTACATGGCAAATAATGTCTATAAAAATAAATACCTCGTTCGACTCTTTCACATTTTGTAAGCATTGAAGAAGGTTGAACTTCAGCCATCAGCTTGTATCTGATCAAACCAAAACTAGTAACATAACTTTGAGGTGTATTTCCAGGTACTCTAAGTTCAAAGTTAAGATCTGTTACACCTTTTTGTAAAACGTTCTTTTCATAAAGTATTTGTTCAAGTTTAAGTACATTTAAGCAAGAATATTGATTTTCCCAATCCGAATACTCTGTTTTTCCTTTTAATTTGATGGTTATAGATTTTATTTTCAATGGTTTTGAGACTATTACACGAAGTTTCCCAGAAACTAAGTGAGTTTTATCTTTATTTGGTTCACCGTACATTATTAATTTTCCATCATTATCCGGAATGATATCTACAGCAATAATATTATTATTCATTGCGACTGTAGTTAGAATGGACGAAAATAAAATAAAATTAAAAAAAAAAATATTGGGAAGATAAAAAAGAAATCGTATGTGGTTATTGTCTTTATATATATTTTTTTTCTTTGATGAATAATCTATAGGCTAGTATAATTGAAAATTTATGATGTGCATTCCTGAAACTATTGTTAGATTAACTTATGTTTGTTATATAACTGATTAAAAATTTCTAAGAATAGAGTTGAAACAGTATAATGTTAAGGTATATAAAAGAATAAATCGAATAAGTTCAATATATGAAAGACGTAACCAGGCAGTTTTTTAGTGCGTAGGTCGTGCATTTATTTTAACTTGAGACAACGCAAACATTACAAGTCGTTCGAATTCTTCTTTGCCTTATTTGGCAACGAGGTATATTACGTGCATCACAAATTTCTTTTTAGATATATTTTTTATAACAAAAGCGAAACATTTTATTCAATTATTTGAAAAAAGAATATAATTAAACAGTTCCCTTTCCTGACATGTTTTTAATGCCATGCTTAACACGCATACGATCGTTAAGATTGGGCAATATGCATGCACACTTTTATCATAAAATTAAACATTCAAATTCATTGTTTAGTTATCCCGTTTAATTCGAGATGAAATTGAAGCATACAGAATCAAGTAAATTGACATTGATTTCAAAAAT